CGCCTGCCTGGCAAGTGCTAGGACCTGAGTTCGATTCCTGGTACCAAAAAGAAAAGAAAAAAAAAAAAGGGCAGAGGAAAGTTTGAAAGAGGCTAGTAGTAAAGAAACTTTTCTGTGCCTTCGTTGTGGTAGTAAATAGAAGAACCTGTACAGGTGAGAAATTTGCATAAAAGTGTGCACATAGGAGTACAAATTAAAAACTAGGAATTTATTGTGTGGTGTTGGGAGTTGAACCCAGGGCCTGTACACTGAACTACATCCACAGTAGTAAAAATTTTATTTTGAGACAGGGTCTTACTAAGCTACTAAGTTTAAGTTGCCCAGGCTGGGCTCAAACTTGAAATCCTCCTGCCTTAGCCTCTTAAAGTGCTAGAATTATAGGAGTGTGCCCCCACATCCAGCTAAGACTAAGAATTTTGAATCTTTTTTTTTTTTAAATGTATAGTCAAAACTCTCTTGAGTTCCAAAAAGCCAATGTTAAAACATGAAATATTGTGGGCAGGGGTGAGCTTAATGATAGAATTCATGTTTAGCATGTGGAAGGCTCTGGGTTCAATCTGCAGCACCCAAAAAGGAAAGAGTCAACCTAAATTAGACACTATATTAAGAATGACCCATTCAATTAAATAATTTTCCCCCAAAGAGTTAAGATTTCATTTACTACTAATAAATATGTCATCACTAATATTTTAACCAATAGTTTATAAACTGTTGAGGAATTTCAACAGATCATTTTAAGAATTGCTAGAAAAGTACTTAGTAAAAACTAAATATTTTTAAAAGTACTTAATAAAAATTTATATTTTTAAAACAAAAAGGTATTCTTAGTAACAAAATAAATTCTAGAATGTGATACGCTATCATAAATATTACAGGAAAGGAAGTAAAAATTAAAAATTTCTTGTGAAGGGAACAAAATTATTATTTGCAAGTGAAAATCACAGTAGTTTCAACAATGGCTTGTAAACAAGCCATTCCATCAGTCAGCTTTCCATTACTGTGATGAAATACTTGGGATAATCAACTTATAAGGAGTTTTTGTTTTTTTGTTTTTTTGTTTTTTTGGTTTTTTTTTTTTGGTTTTTCTCCGGTACCGGGAACCGAACTCACGACCTTGCGCTTGCCAGGCAGGCGCTTTGCCGCTGAGCTAAATCCCCAGCCCTATAAGGAGTTTTGACTCATGATTTCAGAGGTTTCAATCCATGGTCAGTTGGCCCACGGCTTTGAGGTCTGTGAAGAGGCAGCTCACTATGGCAGGAACACATGAAAGAAGAGGCCTGTTTGCCTCATGGCAGCTGAGGCAGGAAGGGGGCAATGTCCCAATATTCCTTTCCAGGGCATGTCCCCAATGACTTAGCTTCCTTCCACCAGGCCCTACCTACTAAAGGTCTCACCCCCTCCCAATAGCTCCACAGGCGTGAGGACCAAGCCTTCAATACATGGCCCTTTGGAGACCATTCAAGATCCAAGCTGTGGCACAACGGAAATATGTAAAGCAGTAAACAGCGTCGTACTTGCAAATGGACCCAGTCATTTTCCCATCAAATTAAAGAACGAAAAAAGATTGCAACTGCTTCCTCTTATTTATCATTACTCTAGAACTTCTCATCAGTATTGCAAGAAAAGTAAAAAAAAAAAAAAAGGACCCCTCCAAAGGAGACAAAATCATCAGTACCTGTAAGAGAAAATCAAAGAGGATATAATGTAGCCATATATTATTTTAGTCAGAAATATGAGTCTTTCAGGGAGACATTATAAAACTTTTACTAAGGGAAAATGTCTTTCATAGACATGTTCAGAAATGAGAAATAGATACACTATCCTAAAGAATGAATTACCTCAGACATCAGTGATTCTAAGCAAAATCTCAATAGAACTATTTTGGAACTAAATAAATTAAATATCAGTTTATCCTAAAAAATAAAAATAAGCAGACAAGAATGCCTAAGAAAAGCTTGGAAAAGATGAAGAAACTTGTTCTACACACCTTAGGCAAGCGGAAAGCCCACAATATTGGAACCTATAAAAGGTTCCTGAAACAGACAGTTGTGTTAATGAGAAATGTACACGTGATCAAACAATAGGAAGCAGCTGATTTGGGGAAATGCGTTGTATGAGAAAATGTTCTAGTTACAACTCGTACCATAGCAAATAAGTTTCAGAAAGATGAAAGATTTGATGTTAACAATTGTTAACAATTTGATGTTAACCATTGATGTTAACAATTTGATGTCACTATTACTCACTGTTACTCATTATTTTTGAAAAGCTAGAGTAGTACCTTTAACACATTTAACTAATACCTATAAAGCAATGACTATGAGATTTGAGTTCATAGAAATATAAGAATTTTGTGTATTAGAAAGCAAAACAGGCCAGGAATATAGCACAATGGCACAGGCGCCTTCTTGGCAAGCGTGAGGTCCTGAGTTCAATTCCCAGTACAAAAAAAAAAGAAAGCAAAGCAAAAAAAAAAAATCAAAAGCCAATGTGAAGATTGGTATGTAATTAAACACACATTTAAATAAATAGGATAACCTTAATACTCAATAGCAGCGAAACAGACCAGAGATAGCAATATCTCTGTACTTTCTCTAATGAAACTGACCTATAAAATTAAACCTATGAGAAAATGTTTTTCTTTTGCAAATTCCATGGTAAATTATAATTCACTATTATTCACCACTTAACATTTCTTTTTTTTTTTTTCACCACTTAGCATTTCTAAGAGTGCTTACAAAGTTACACAGTATTTGTTGAGATCATTATGAAAAGGCACACATAAAATAAACTTCTGGTAGGATGGTAAATCTGTACAGCTATCATGAAAGCAGTTTGTTAATATGGACCAATAACAATCTAACTTTTACCTCAGTAATAAATTCAACTTTTAGGAATTTATATCTGATGTGTTATGTACCTGTACCAACTCCCCACAATGAATGTAATCATTATGTATTGCAAACAAGCATTACTAAAAATTGAAGTTCAAAAAATGACTACAATATGCATAAACATAAGGACTCTATTTAACTTAATTTATAAACTTATTGGCATGTTCTTGAGTAATAAAAAGTCTTCTTTCAATATTTATTAAGTTAGCTTTTACTTGTATGTTTAGAAACTCATATAAACATATGTTTTTCCACTCACATTGCAGTCTTATTCAGATTTTATTTTGTTTTTTGTGTTTTTGAGACAGGGTCTCGCTATGAAATTAAGACTGGCCTTGAGCTCACTTTGTAGCCCAGGCTGGTCTCAAACTCACAACCATCCTCCTGCCTCAGCCTCCTGAGCACTGGGGTTACAGGCATGTACCACCACACTGGTGAGATTTTTTTTTTTTTTTCCAGCACTGGGGATTGAATCCAGGATCCTGGCAGTGAGCTACATTATCCCCAGCCCTTCTTTTTTTAACTTTTCATTTTGAGACAGGGTTTCATTGAATCACCAGGTTGCCCAGACTGGACTTGATCTTTCAATCATCTTCCTCCAACCTCCCAGAGTGCTGGTGTTAAAGGCATGTATCACCATACCTGGATTTTATTTAAATTCTTTATTTCTATTTTTTACATCATTGCCATCACTTGTTTAAAGTCCCCATAATAGTGATTTTACTAAAGTAGTTACTGCATAAAATATTTTAGATGTCATAACTGTTAACATAACAAGTTCATCAAACTACAGTTAACCAGAGCAGTTTGCTGAACATGTTTCATATAGATAGCATCACTTACTGAATCTAAATTTTTCAAAGCACATTACCTTTGAATCCAGCAGAACAGACAGCCCTATTGAACCTGTATGGGATGCTGTATTGAGGAATTTTATTGTAGACCACAAATACTAGTTCACATGCTGTTAGGAGCATTGTTATTCAGCTTTGTCCTGGCGGGGGGGACATTTTTGGTCTCCCAAAATGAAGCAACTTCCTGTATGACATTTCTTAGAGATCTTTGAAACCCTTGTTTACTATGACATCTAATACTTGAAATTATAAGCTCATCCCTCCCAAGAATAAATTTCTAAATCTGTCAGGTGACATCTAAAAATATCTAAAACAAGCATTCATTTAAGTCATTTAAAACTCATGTCTTCAATAAACATTATACTTTGTTCAAAAGAGAGTAATTGAAAGGTTGTCCTGTAGTATAAGATGTTTAAAAATAATACTTTTCTCTTGTATGAGAGGTAATTTTAAATTTAAAGAGTAGCTTTTACCATATATTGGAACGTATACAATAGCCAGACATGCCATGGGGATTTATGTATGACAGTCTTTATTGAAACATTATTTTAAAACAATAAAAAAGGTCAAACATTCAGCCATGAAGGATACTAAAAATGCTGTACATCTGTCAGACTTGATGCTATTTACTCATTAAAGAAAGCTATGCATTAGCCGTGTGCACGTACATGTGACCCCAACTATTTGGGAGGCTGAGGCAAGAAGACTGCAAGTTCAAGGTCAGCCGGGCAACTTAGTAAGACCTTGTCTCAGAATAAAAAATAGAAAGGGCTGTGTGTTTGTCTAGCATGGCGAGGCCCTAAGTTCAGGACTCTGGGTTCTATTTCAGTCCCAGGGGATCGCTGTGTTAGAATATTTAACAATTTAAGGAAATACTCAAGAAATAAAGAGTGAAAATTCTTAAAATGAAATTGTAGATTCAGACGTGGAAATGTAGAGGAGTATATCTATATGCATAGGAAAAGAAAAAACTGGAGGAGAGAATCATCAAAATATTTTGTCAGTTACCTTTACATTGCTGTGATATTTGCCGTGATTTGGGTTATCCTGTTCATTCAGCTGATGAGCAGACAGGCACATTGTGCCTGGGGGCCCATCTAGCTGGATGAGTCTGGAGTAGATTGCAGAAGGTGTGAGGGGGGTTGGGGGCGGGGAGAAAACAGCATAATGCGTGGACCCCCTCCCGTTCCCGTGTGTTATTGACCATCCCCGCACGTTCTCACAGTGTGCTTTGTTTCCGGCTTATCCACAGTCGTTTTTTGTGGACCACAACAGTCGAGCCACCACTTTCATTGACCCCCGCATCCCTCTGCAGAATGGCCGCCTTCCCAATCATCTGACCCATCGCCAGCACCTCCAGAGGCTCCGAAGTTACAGCGCCGGTGAGGTAATGCTCTCCCCACCCCACCCTCCAGCTGCACTGTGTCTGGTGTTCTGGAGGGGCAGAGCTAATAGGGGCTGGGATCTAGAGCTGCCTGCTCTATAGGAGATAAAGCCGCATGCATACTGTGCTCTAGAAGAATAAGCGACCACTGTGGGGCACCAGGGGACTCCCTCGATCTGTCTTCCAGTCACTTTCCTTCTGCTTTCCCCTTTGTCCAAATCACCATCACTAAAAATCTTTTTAGTGTGAAGAGAACTGGAAAGGCCATGATAGGAGATCCTAGCGCTAAATACTAGAGCTGCTCTTCCTGCCAGTCACATGGGAATGCCTACAAGAGTATGGCGTTTCTGTGCACTCTATGACTGCCTTAGAACTTTACATCTCCGTAAGATCCTGGAGAAGACTCCAGAAGTGTATCCATGGACTGCAAACTAGGGAAAGGAGCCAGGTCCTATGAATACTCTATGCCCACCCTTCTCCCTGATTTCACACCTTCTTTCCATGCCCTGGTTTCCTTCTGCTGAACCATGAAGAGTCACTTCGTCACCTTTCTGCATCACTCCCTATACCCCAAACCTTTCCTGGCTTTCTTTCTCAAGCCAAAGCTGACATCAGTCAATTCTATAGGATTGTCAGTCACTCCCTTCTTATGTCCTGAGTGACATTTCCCAAGAATCTCTCACAAGATGTAGGCTTGGAAAAACATTTCCTCTAAGACAGCTTGTAGTGTTGGATTACAATGAGGCAGAAAATGAAAAAAAGTGGCATAGGGAAGAAAAGAATATACAGAGAGAGGCATGCCAGGGAGACCAATTGTGGACCTCTCAGGGGAAACTGGAAAAATTATGACACACCAGACAGCCATTCCCTCCAGATAGCAAACACCAATCTCAAGAGGTTCTTGGCATACTGAAAGTAATTATTTACAACTTCTTTGAGAGTAGTTCTCTGTTCACTCTCACAGGCATAACTGTTTCTAACCAGGGGCCCTCATGACTTAATCCCAGTGTGAGAAAAGGTATTTTTCTTTCATGGGGCTATCTTAAGTAGTATTGTTTGAGAATGCTGCTAAAAGCCTGTTAAATCTTTCTTTCTGCGTGTAAGTAAAGTGTGGCTTTGACTCTGCAGAGAGGGAGTATTATACATCCCAGAACAGTACGCAGGTGTCAGGATCCTCTAGATGCAGATGATTTCCAACTAGAGAGAGCAGTGACCCAATTTTCCAGCTCAGCGTGCATATCTCTCACTTTTGTAGTACTTGAGGAAGTACAAGATACAGTATCTAAGATAATAGTGAATAGATTCAAAACTCTGCATCCACTTGAAATACGCCATCTTAATATATTTAAAAGTCCAACCTCGTTACTATGATTGAGGCAATATCAGTAATGACATAGGGTAACTACAAGTGAGAAACAAACTGAGCACAACAGATTTACTGCCAGTATAACAAAAACAGCAATCACCCAAGGGAAGATGGACCATCTAAAGACATAGATCTCTTTGAGTTACAATGGTAAAAAAGAGAAGAAGCAGGATATATCATATACAGGTACAAACTCCTTATGATGAATGTTATCATTATGTATACCTAAAATGTACCAGGAAAATTTTTTAAAAAGAAATTCACCTGAAAATATAAATATAAAAAACTACTTGAAAGAACAAGATTAAAGCCAGTGGTACCACTTGCAGTACCTGTTCCAAAGCATTTATTCAATACAATTAAACAGCCAACAACAGTTCCTCTAATATCAACATCAATAGAAAGGTGATACCAGCATCGGCCAGGAATCTGCTGGAAGACTCTAACATGTGACAGTGAAACGATGTAACGGTGTATCAGCCACCTGTCTCCTTCCTAACGCACCCACTCCAGGCTCACTCTGAATGTTAGATGTTCAAACCCCACCCATCCACCTGCTCATCCCCTCCCTCCTGGTAGCTGTAGACTAACGTGTAGAAACCCAGCAAAGCAACAGAGAGAAGTGCGGGGAGATGATGTCTGATCCAGAGGCAGCACAGCAAAGCAAACAAAGTCTCAGCCTCTAAGAAAACAAATATGCAGTTCTTCCTGCTGTGGCAGCCCACAGCTTAGGGGATGAGGAGACAGGAGGGATTCTGCTGTGAAAACAGAGGAGGGACACAGTGAGCCATGTGAACTGTGTTTGCTAACGTGGTCTTGCTTACCAAACATTGATTCAGGGCATATTTTGCTATGAGCACTGTGGAATACAAAGGACTGTTTCACAGTATTGTATTCTATTTTTAAAGCCATGCAAAAAATACAGAGTTGAGTGCCAAAAGAAATAAGAATATGACTGAGTGCCATGAGAGACATTAGGACAAGTGCCATAGAAGTTCAGATGAGGCCAAGGGTGGTAGGTACCTTCTCAAATAAGGTGTCTGATCTGGAACTTGGAGACTAGTAGCCTCTAGCCAGGTACAAAGGAGGAGAGAGGGCAACCCCACCAACAGCACAACATCTGTGAAGTTGCAGAAGTAGAACCAGGGAGAATCTATAGGAGACGGGGTCATTCATGTGACCCACTCTGGCTGTGTCTTGGTTTGGGGAAGGCTTGACACACCCCCTAGAAGAGCACACTGAATGAATTTTGAAGAAAGTAATGTCATCATCTTTCTGTAAAAACAGATGTTACAGATCGCTTCACCTGTTGTTGCTCAACAGGGCGAGACTTGACATTTAGGGTCAGGACAGTTTTCTGATATGTGAAATTGTCCCATCCCATTCCAACACCTTTGCTTCCTGTCCTGCCCGTAAAATGTTAGAAGTGACCCTACTTCACCAGTCATTGTGATGGTCAAAACAAAACAGAAAATAAAACAAAACAAAAAGTCCTATAGTAGTCAGTGTTCTTGAAAGAAACAAAACTAGTACAACAGATGGATATGTGCATAAATGGATACAGACAGACCCATGAGTGGTGAGTAATTATATTCATTAGTTCATGTGATTATGGGACTGAGAGCCCCACCTATGCTGTCAGAAAAGGGGAGGACTACGGAAGCTTGTGGAATAGCTGAGCTCAAATACAAAGGCCTGAGACCTTGATGACTACTGGTTCAAGTCCTGCAATCTGTAGGTCGGAGAACCTGGGGTTCTGCTATCCAACAGCAGGAGAAGAAGGGTGTCCCAGCTCCAGATGAGAGTGTTTGAATTTGCCCATTTCTGTCCTCCATTCTGACAACCAGTTGGAGGCCCCGTTCACACTGGGTGAGTGTGGATATTCCTAACTCACTCTGTGATTCCAATGCCAGTCTCTTCCAGAAACACCCTCACAGATACACTCAGAGTATGCTTTATCAGCTATCTGGGTATCCTTTAATGCCATCGGGTAACACCTAAAATTAGCTGTCATACCCCCAAGTATTTCCACCCCCCTGCCAGGTGATTGTACCACCTTGGTTAAGAATCATATTTTATAGTTAAGCAAATCAAAGAACTCAGGTCACTTGGGTAGTCCAGAAACAGCTCAGATTTCTTAATTTCCCCCCCCCCTGTAAATTGGTATCTTTAAAAGGAGACTCTACAGGCCAAAAAGAAGGACTGTGCAGAGGGATTTGAGGGAGAGGCCACTGCCACAGTCCAGGGCAGGCGAGAAAGTCGCTGTCCTATAAATGTTGGAGGTTGGATGTTGAATGTCTCTTAGAGATCTGGGTAGTGAAAGCTCCATCCTTAGGGTGTGCTACACAGAGGTGGTGGTCTTTAACAGTGGGTGTCTAGGGGCTGAGGGTGTGGCTTAACAGAGTGTTGCTGAGCAAGTACAAAGCCCTGGGTGGGACCCCCAGCAACCACCCAAAATGGGGTCTAGAGGGAGGCCTTTAGGTCACTAGGTCACTGAGGACATGGCCTTGCAGGGGATTATAAGGGCCCTGGCCCTCTCCTTGCTGTCTTTTGCCTCCTGGCTATGAGGTGAATGACTTCACTCCACCATGATCTCCTATCATGATATATTGCTCACCACAAGCCCCCAATGCAGCCAATCACACTTAGACTGGAACTTCCAGAACTAGGGGCCAAATTATACCTTTTCTCTCTACATCTTGATTATCTCAGTTATTTTGTTATGGTAACAAAAAGCTGACTACCACAAGGCCCCAAGGCAAAGAGACAGAAAACAAAGATTCATAGGCATACTGCAAAGAGTAACTGGAGCTTCAGACAGCAGATGCGAGTCTCAGTGCCAGCTCTTCCTAGAGGAGCTGAGCGCCTTCACATATCTCTTTCCTTTTGGGAACCTCAGTTTTCTCAGTTTCCTCCTTCTCTCATGGAGGATCACCAAAAGTCAGTCCCAGCTCTGTGATTCTGTGTCTGTGAGGCCTGATTCCTAGTTCTCCAGCCATGTTGCTAAGAATCAGAGTCCTGACACCAACACAGGTAAGACAAGCAGGAAAGCCAATAGGGGAAGCTGGCAGGTCTGTCCTCAGAGAAGTGGATAGCAGGTATGACAACAGCAAGATATCTGGTTACCAAGGACAGTTAAGCAGACAGAAATAAGAGACTTGAGAACATCAGTTGTTTCCATAGTCCATGGTTTTTTTATACCAAGCACCTACCAGGGTCCCCAGTGTCTGGGCTACAGACCAGTACAGGTCCATGACCTGATGGTCATGGGACTGCAGGGCAGGTGGTGAGAGTTGGGAGAAAGCAAACCTTTGTCTGCTTTTCCAGCCACTCCCCACTGCTTGCAGCTCCACGGAGCTCCTCCTGGCCTCCTGTTGGATCAGCAGGGTATGGAAGTCTCAAAGGAGCAGGAACCCTGCAGTGAACTGCCCATAGGAGAGATATATAGGTAGTGGGCTCCTGTGAATCATCCTGAAACCGTCACCACCACCCAGATCCGTGCAAAACCTGACCTCCACAAAACTAGTCCCTGGTGCCAGAAAAGGTTGGGCACTGCTGTCGTATGCCACAGGCAATGGAGAATTCACTATACGTGTTTCTTGGACTGTAACCTTAGTTGTCAGTACTCTGACATGAC